ATGATAGCCACAACAATGATTCATCATGGGTATTTCAGTACTATGTCCATTTTAGCAGAATAAATGGTATTGGCTTCCCTCCTAGGGCCTGTGACCTATTTTGCTACAGGTTCTTGGCCCTGTTAACAGTGTCAGACTTGAATTCCATCTCATGGAGCAGGCTTTAGATCTAATCAACAAGTATTTGGTTGTTCCTGTAACTTTCATGCCACTGTTGTACCAGTGGACATATCTTGTCCTGTCAGTAGTTGTAGCTTGTGGAGTTCACAGCTAAGATTGGGGCTTATTTTTTTCTCCTCTGGCAACATATGTAAAATCTTCCATCACTATAAACACTACTTGATATGGATGAAAGTTCCAGGAATCCATTTCCCCTTCTCCTAAGTGCTTGTGTTACAGGCATGCACCACCATACATGCCTCTAAAAAAAGGATTTTTTAGTTAATATTCTGAAAAGATTTTTTTTGTTGTTGTTGTCTTTGGCTTTGGTATCAAGGAAATGATGGCCAAAAAGAATAAGTTAAAAAAGTTTGAAAATGTACACTGGGAATGAAAAAAATCTTCTTAAAAAAGCTATAGTAATTAAGAGAATGTGGCACTGAAATGAGGATAGACAATCAGGTCAATTAACAGTCTAGGCTAAAAATTTAAATTTAGGGCTAATTGATTTCTGACAAGGTTGCAAGATTGTTCAATATAGAAAGGATGTTCTTTGCAATAAATGGTGGGAGACAACTGTATATCCTCCCACAAAAAATGAATTTGGATACTTTATACAAAGATTCAGTCAAAATAGATTGTAAAGATAAACATAGATCCTGTAACCCCCTCACTTTCTGAAGGAAAATGAACTAAATTTTCATAACAACGATTTCATGAACAACAAAAGTGAGAATCCGTAAGTTGAACTTGATCAAATATTCAGAAAATTTCTGCTTTATATGACACCAGCAAAAGGGGAAAGGATACCTCATAGAAAAGTATCTTCTAATCACTTATCTGAAATTTGTATGAAGGATGTGTAAGAAACTCTTAAATCTGTCAAACAGAAAGATAATCCCATTATAAAATGGCCAAGTATTTGAGGAGACAAATCCCCCAAGGAAGATTCACATGAAGCTAAGAGGCACAGGAAAAGATGGTCAATGTCATTAATCATTTTGGAGACACAAATCTAAGCTACTATGAGATACTATTTCGTAGTCATTAGTATGTCTTATATCAGAATGGTGGATAATAATGATATAGGCAAAGAATGTGGGAAAATCAGAACCTTCATGTGTTGATCATGGGAAGGTAGAGTGACACAGTCATTTAGAAAATAATTTTAACAGTCTTTCAAAATGTTAAACACAAGGTTGGCATACAACTCAGCAACCATGATGAAAGGTATAAGCCCAGGAGAACTGAAACAGGTATATATAAAGTGGTTTATACAATGTTCATAGGAGCACTTTTCCTATTAACACATACAATCCCAGTGTCCATCAGTTAATTCACAGACAAACAAAATTATAGCATATCTAGACAGTGAACTGCTTCTCTGAAGTAAGAAATGAAGTAGTGCCATGTGTGACAATGTACATTTGTGGAAGAGGCGAATGGCCCTTAAAAATCATGTTAAGTTACAGATTTCAGTCACTAAAGAACAGATATTGTGTGACCCTATCCTTGTGAAATGTCCAGAATAAGCAAAACTGTGGGGACAGAAAGTAGATTAATGGATGCCTGGGACCAAGGCCAAGTGTGTGAGAAAAACGGTTTGACTGCTAAAGGCCAAGAGTTTCTTTTCTGAGGTGGCAAAATTTGGTAAAAATGGACTGAATTAACAGGGGCACCCCTCTGTGAGCACATTACAAACAATATAATTGTATGTGTTAAATTAGTGATGTTTTTGAAAGTGAATTTTATCTCAATTAACTCCTAAGCAAAAAGACCAGGGGTGCAACTCAGTGGTAGAGCACTTACCTAGCATGCAACAGGCCCCAAGTTCCATTTCCAGCACTGCAAGAAAAAAAAAAGGAAAAAAATTAAACATGAAATCACTAATCTACTCCTAGAACTTTATTCAAGGAAAATGAAACAAATTTACTCTATTGTTTTCAGATATTCTTTAAAGTTTTATTTGTATCAACCCCAAACTTTCAATCACTAGCTGCTTGTCAACTAGCCAAGCAGTAAACAAAATGCTCTATATCCCTACGAAGGAGTAAGGCTCCATAGTGAAAGGAAAGAATCCATGGCGAATGCTGCACTGGGAAAACCCAAGTCAGGTCCAACATGGTTTGCTTTCATTTCTATGGATGTCCGATAAAAACAAAACCAGAGGGCTAGGAAGCAGATGAGCAAGGCTGGGACCCTATTTGTGGTAGAAGAGGTGAGAAGCTGTGTGACGAACTGGCTGGATAGCTGCTGGTATATTAAGACACCTTTTAAGTGTCTTGATCTGCAACTGGGTGAATAGGCTTGTTTTTTTCTTTCCTTTTTTTTTTTAAACATATATTTGTAGAATTTGCTAAATGGTGTTTAATATAATAATAAAAAGCAAAGATGTATTTATCTGCTTGATTCTCACAGCATAAACACAGGATATGTACCTTAGAAACTATTGAATAATTACTTCTGAAGTGAGGTAGAAGACAGCTGAAGGGATGGTGGAAGAGATAAATCTCTGAATGAATCTTTTGGGTTTTAGCTTATACTGATGTTTTGTTGTTTAAACAGTTATTTGAAGACTCATGAACACATAATTGTTATGGTACATTAGTGGGCCCAGGGCTGCAGGCAAATCGCTCCATCTGTTGTTTTAAATTTTAATTTTTACTAAATTGTGTGTGTGTGTGTGTGTGTGTGTGTGTGTGTGTGTGTGTGTGTGTGTGTGGGGAGATAGACATGAGAGACATGAGTGCAGATGCTATCTTATTTAGGGTTGCTGTAGCTGTTAGAAAATACTATGACCAAAAGCAGCTTGTGGAGGAAAAGGTTCATTTCAGCTTGCAGTGCCACATCACAATCCACCAAAGAAGGAAATCAGGCAGGAACTCAAGCAGGGCAGGAACCTGGAGGCAGGAACTGAAGTAGAGGCCATGGAAGGTGCTTCTTACCGGGTTGCTCCCCATGGCTTGCTCAGCCTGCTTTCTTTCTTTCTTTTTTTAAACTTTTTTTTTTTAAATTTGAATTACAAACAAGATTAAATTACATGACAATCCCAGTTCCCTTCTCCCTCCCTTCCTCCCCTACCACCCCCTCAACTAAAACCCTACCTATCACATATCCTTTCTTCTAATCTACACCTGACTCAACCTTTCTGCTCCCTCATGACCTCTGCATCCTTCCTCTTCTTCCCTTCTCATTCTCATAGCTCCCTCCACCACCCCTCTTCCCATGCTCTCAATTTGCTCAGGGGATGGTGACCCTTTCCCCTTCTCCAGGGGACAAAGTTTGTCTCTTTTAGGGTCCTCCTTGTTTTCTTGTTTCTCTGGTGTTGTGGATTGTAGGCTGGTAATCCCTTACTCTATGTCTAAAATCCACATATGAGTGAGTACATATCATGTTTGTCTTTTTGTGATTGGGTTACCTCACTCAGAATGGTTTCTTCAAGTTCCATCCATTTTCCTGCAAATTTCAAGATTTCCTTGTTTTTTTCTGCTGAATAGTACTCCATTGTGTAAAGGTACCACATTTTCTTTATCCATTCTTCGGTTGAGGGGCATCTAGGCTGCTTCCAGTTTCTGGCTATTACAAATAGTTCAGCCTGCTTTCTTATATCACCCAGAATCACCAACTCAGGGGTGGTACCATTCACAGTACCATCTATGGGTCCTCCCACATGAACTATCACTCAAGAAACTACCCCATGGGCTTGTCCACAGCCCAGTCTGGTGAGGACATTTTCTCAGTTGAGTTACCCTCTTCCCAGATGACATTAGCTTATGGCAAGTTGATATGAAATTAGCCAGCACAGATGCCCTTCAAGACCAGAGGTGTTGGGTTCTGTGGAGCTGGAGTTACAGGTGGTTGTGAGTGGTTGATGTAGGTGCTGGGAGCTGAACTCTAGTCCCCTGGAAGAACAGCAAGTGCTCTTAACCTCTGAGCTATCTTGCCAGCCTGCCCCTTACCTGCTGTTTTAGATTGTGGTCAAATGGCTAGTGTTGGTCTAAGGTCTTTGGGAGCAGCTTTTCTTAAGCCAGTAATGATTGCTTGGCTTGCCTGCTGTGTTCTTCACTTTTGCTTTGATAGTCATTCTGAGGATACACGCAGTGGAAGCTGCCATAATTTCTGAGTACCCCATGGGACACAGCTACTTTTACACACACCACACACACACACACACACACACACACACACACACTTACTTTATGGGTTCTGGGGATCAAACTCGAGTCCTCATACTTGACTGAGCCATTTCCTCAGCAGCTGGACTACTTTTCAGTAATTTGAGTCATTTGTGTAGTGAGAACAGGCAAAAAATTAAACAGTCCCTATTGGACATTTGCTTCTTTATCTGGGCAGTTTTGGGTGAATAGCAGTTTCATTTCCTCTTGCGCATAAGAGAGATTAAGAAATAAGCTTGACACTGGTCTGAATGGATGTTTAAAGGGTTCAAACGCTTTGGTCATATTTTTCTCTTTTGATTGGTAAAGTATTTTTATTACTTTTTAAAAAATTTTACTTCATATTGCTTAAGATAGTCACCCTAAGACTTTCTGTCTATGCTCTAGGTAATTCCCTTTGTATCTTGTCCAGGGATTTTACTGGGGACAATTTATCATCATCTCATATGGGCCCTCCTTTTCTGAGCTGACATAAGGAGGAAATCTTCAAATCCCTCTTTTCCATCTGCACTCTGACCCTAGAAGCTGAAGGAGGTCATTGTCACATCATCACTTGTCAACCAATCAGAGAGGGAACCTCCCTTCAACAACGTTCCTATTCCATAGAAGTTCTCAGGCAGCTTCAATGGAAGGAGGGAGCCAAGAAGGCCCTCTGTAAGTCTGAAGATGATCATTACAACATGGATTGTGTACATCTTTACCCGGAAAACTATAGGGCTACCCTTCCCACCAAACACAAACTCGGTGAGTCGTGGTGGCAGCCACATGGGACTGTGCCTACTTTTCTCTGTCTGCATTCCTGGTGTGTCTCACAGACACCACCTATCATATCACATTGGATAGAAGTGGTGCGGGGGGGGGGGGGGGGGGTTGGGTCTCTAGGGTTTTTGAGGTCATCATCTTAACCAATTTGTTCCAGGACATTGAAGTTGTGGAAAGTGAAGCTGTATCTGTAGTACAGCACTGGTTGAACAAAGTGAGTAGAACTCTTCTATGACCCAGTACTGAAAGTTCTAGAGTGCTAGTACCAATAGGGGGCAGGAATCAGGATTCCACTCTCTATACAACTGAGAAACTCAAGTTTATTACCAAATTCCCTGCCTACAGTTGAGTTTAAATTCATTCTGATGTCTGAGAGGATGTGGGGTTTTGTGTTGGTAAGAGAAGTGTTGGCATCACTACTCATTGACTTATCAAGCATCCTAGAGGAGGGGAATTCTGCTCAAGGTGGCCCCAGAAGTACCTCAGGATAGGGCCAAGGGCTTAGGGGAAGTCCCAGGGATTCATAGAGGAATATCAATGGAGGAGATTTGTGAAGAAACTGGGAGTGATGGAATGAGAGCAGTGTGTGTGTGTGTGTGTGTGTGTGTGTGTGTGTGTGTGTGTGTGTGTGTGTCTTGTGTTTTGATGTGAGAGGTATAGGGAAAAGAAGAAGAGAGGGGGCCTGGAGAACAGATGGACTGGGCACTTTAAGAGGGAAACCATTCACCTTTCAGACGGAAGAGGAGGCTTCTAGGAGCATAAAGGAGAAGATGTCTAACAACGCCCCTTCGTGTCATGGACATGACGTACATGTGACCAGAGATTTGGTAACAGAGTTTGTGGGAAAGTGGGGCTGACATATCTCAGGAGTTGGTGTCCACATTGGCTAGTAACCACATGTATTCAATCTGGATTTCCCAGGTGAAGCATCATCTCTCCAAGAGTGATATGTCAGTAGAACCTAATCAGGAATTGCTGGAGGAGAGAACAAGGATCCAGTTTATAAGATGGAGGTACAGTACCCAGGGGGTGCAGCAGCCTACTGAGAAGGCACCAGCCCTTCTCCAGGGTCCCCAGCTAGATCAAACACATTTGTTCTAGAGATGCCACCTTCTTTGGCAGAGAAATTCCTCAGTCATGCTTTGGGGACTTAAGGAACTATTAGTGCTATCTTGAAAGCTTAGCTCATTGGTACATTTTTAAATGACTTCAGCAGTTGGGGAACTGGGCTTGTTCTCCGTTTCCTAAACACTTCTGAATATGTCTCAGATTCCTGTTATTTTTGCACTTGAATTGTTCAGAAGTGGCAGCACTTTAAAGAGCTAAAAGAAAATAAGCTCTTAAAATGCAAAAGCCAAAGCCCTCATCTGCGACTTTGCAGTGTGGAAGTCTCCTAGGACTAGAGGCAAAATTTCTGTGACAAAGCCACACTGTCACCTTCCTGCCACCTTGGTGCAGCCCTTTCTCAGTCCTGAGATGCTGAAGATGCTGTGACTACAGGTGGAGAGGGGCGGGCCTGAAGTCACCCCACTCCTCCTGCAGAGGGATCCCATTTTCTTTGTGTTCCCTGAATCCATCAGTGTCTGGGTCAGATTATGACATCGTTCTTTGAACTAGTCCATGTTGTGACTAAAGAGCTTGTTCTTTCCTCCTTCCCTCTCTGCTCCTGTTGCCAGCTGTGCTCTTCCCTTGAGGAAACTGTGCCCCTCACTAAGCTTAGTTTTGCTTCAGGATTTGTGTATTCGTGGGTTTACTTTGCCAGTGACAATGTTGTAGAGTATTCAAATATGCACTGATTCTTCTTGGGAGGAATAACCTTGGTGGGATTTCAGACCCCCCACTTCCCAGAGGAGATATTTTCTCGAGAAACCCATTGAGGCTCCTCAGCATTATTGACTGCAATCCTGGTTTTTCCTTGCTCGATTTGGATGGACTCTGGAGTTACAAACATTACTCCCCTTGGTTTGGAGAGTAAAACCTCATCCTCCAACATTGTTTTAGCCTTGGCTGTATAATTATTTTAAGATTTTGGACGTTGTCAAGAAGTATCAGTTGTCTATAATTTTTCCACTCTGAATTTTCAATGGAGATTGGAAATGAACAATCTGTTCTTTTCCACAATGCACTGATTCTGGGGTTTTCTTCATAGTCCGCTAGGTAGGAGGCAGTCAGGGTGACACCCTTGCATGAAAATTTGCTGGCTCTTTGTACTTGCTAACTGGCCTGGAGGAGAAAAAAAGAGCAAAGCACAGCTCCACATTTCATGGACATAAGTTAGGCAGACAGGTAGGGTGTGTGGAAGTGTGTGTTAGGGAAGCCAGGAGGAAGGTCTGAGGGCACAGCTTGAGGCTCCGGGCTGCACATTTACCAGGCATTGCTACCAGATCATCTCAAAGAAGTTTCCAGGGGGCTGTATGCTCAGACTGGCTCTTTAATGGGGGTACTATTAGGTGAGAAACAGGGAACTGTAGAGAAAAGGGGAACTGCAGAGAAAAGGAGAGCCCGTGTAGCCTGTGCATCCTAGTACTGAGACCCCTGTTTTCTGAGGGGCTCCTTCCCCCTAGGTTGGGGACAGTTAGACTTGTCTGCTTTATCTCCTATGGGCTCCAACTGGTTCTTCCTGGTAGCAGCAGCTCAAAATCCCATGTTGCTATGATGTTTTCCAGCCACACTCGTATCTTCCAAGTACCAAGTGAAATGATAGAAGATGTCATGCAGGAGCGAATAGATCAAGTGAGACGAAGGTAAATTCTTGCAATGAATTGCTTTGTATCCCTACTTGGGAACATGTGGGTGGAGATGACGTCAGAGTTAGCTGCCCATCCCAATCATCTGTTGTCTTTAACGTGAGTGGAATCCCAAGGGCTTCTGTCCTTTGCGATCCATATTATGGTGGCCTTATCAACCGAATGTGGTGCCTGCCTGCCATGGCTCCAGGCTGGGGGATTCTTCCTGGACTTCAATTCTAAAGTTTACACCTAATGATGGCTCAGGCCTATGATTTCCACCCAGCCCATGCCCTGTGCTGTGGTTTGGGTATTAGGTCTAGGTAGGTTCTGATAGTCTCTTTTCCATCTTGCTGTTCTCCTGTCTTCTGCAGCATATCTCATCTCACGTGTGACTCATATGATGACCCAAGCTTCAGAACTTCTTGCTCAGAATGCTAAGGTGAGGAGACCCATAGGTAACGGCCTGGGGCGGGGGTAGGGCATCTAGCTTTGGCATGGGAAGTTTTCCTGAGTGAGAGGTCAACACCCAGGGCAAGTGAGGGCAGGGTAAAGTAGATGTTGCTGTTTTAATGCTGCTTTGAGACAGGGTCTCAGAAGGAGTAAGGGCATATAGAATTTGAACCTACTACCAGCAAGGGACTTTTGGTCATACATCCTCCCCTTGTGCTTTGCACAAGGCGGTAGCCATAACTGGATGTTGATTTTAGTTCCAAGAAGTGGAAGGTTGGAGGTGGAACCATCTCAATACAAGGAGCATGCCTGAAGCAGTCACTGTACCCTATTCAAGCGAGATGGCCCTGGTAGTTGCTGAGGGGATGGGGATGAAAGACATGATTGACATATAGCTGGAAGCTACGTGCTTAAAAAGCATCAGGAAATGCAATGCTAGCACTTATTAAGTGCTGTCTGTATGGATGATTCTGCATAGGGCATGTTTTTTCAAGGGTTCTCATTGATCCAGACAGACATTATACAGAAAGTAGAGGACTTGAAAGTGGAGATGGGGATCAGAAACTGACTTCAACTGGCTGCACATTTCCATGAGGGCTCATTGAGTACATCTCTGATTCCCAGGTTGAAGGCCTCCAGAGACAGCAAACAGCCTGTGTTCAAAGAATGTCCACCTCATGTTTGACCTGAAGGGTGACCAGCCTTGAGCAGAAGGGCTATAGAGGCTGAGTCCTTGGTTACCACATTGATGACACTGGAATCTTCTTGCTGAAGTGCTAATAAAAAGAGACATCTTATCTACCAACTAGCCCCAGTGTTGATGTGGATGCTTTGCATCTTGTCCTCCCCCTTTCCTCCTTCCTCTCCCATCCGTTCTCTCCCTCCCTCCTCCCCTCCCTTATCCATCCATCCATCCACCCAATTTTGGGTGCCTTGCAGGCCTGGTTCTAAGGGCACATAGCTACCTGCTATTCCTCTGCTGTGTGTTGCAGGCAGTGCAGTAGATGCCAGAACATTTGAAGGGATGCTGGTGTGAACTGGGATGGGGGTTGGGTAGGTGGAGTGGATTTCTTGAGGGAGTTCTGGGGATTCCTGTATTTTAATCCACTCATTATCTCATCTCCCCTTCCTCTCCCCTCTTCATTTCCATGAGCTCCCATCATTCTTTTAGACAATTTTACTTCTATTTTTATGTTAAATGTGCACGCATGACTTCATGTATCTATATAAAATCTAGAATTCAGAAATGAGAGAAAAATATGTGATGTTTGTCTTTTTGAGACAGAATTAATCTGCTTAATATGGTAATAGCCAGTTGCAACCATTTTCTTGCAAGTGACATAATTATGTTCTTTCTGCCTGAATAAACTTCCATTGTGCATATTTACCACACCTTCTGTATCCTGCCCTTTGCTGACAGACCCCTACATTGGTTCCTGTATGTTGGACTTTCTGTGCTTTGAATATATATGAATAGGCATAGACCCCCTACTTTTTTTCCTGCTTGGAGTTTTTTGAGATCTCTGGATTGTTGGATATCTGTCTTGAGTTTTGAGAAGGTCTGAACTGCTGTCACTTCAAATACTTCTGTGTTTTTTTCCCTGTGCCCTTGATCATCCCATTATACACCAGTTACAGAAATGTTTTATGAGTGACACTCTGACTGTAGACAGAGTTTCTGTTTCAAATAATCTCGCTGCCCTTCAGTACGAAATAAACATGCTGAGGCTTATATAAATTATAAACTGGCTGACAGCTCAGGCTTCTTTTTGGCTAGCTCCCTCTTAATTATTAACCTATTTCTATTAATCTATGTATTTCCACATGGCCTTGGCTTACCAGTGACGCCCGGTCCCCTTTCTTCCTTGGCAGCTACATGGCCTCTCCCTGGCGGTTCCTCTCCCCAGAATTCTCCTAGGCCCACCTGTACCTCCTTTCTGTCTACTAGCCAATCAGTGTTTTATTCATCAACCAATAAGAGAAACATATATATAGAAGGACATCCCCCATCATCTCCTCTTTTCTGTCTAAATAAAAAGGTTTTAGCTTTAACATAGTAAAATTATATATAACAAAAGTAATCAAGCAAGAATTACATAGGTACAACAGTTACAATATTTAGATCATTAACATTTGGCAAAATTTAAAGATACTCTACAATCTATCCTGTCTTTGTGAGTCTAAAGTTTTATATGCAACTTATTTTTTTATCATAACCAAGGAAAACCATAACCATAACTATCTGTCTTCATCTCCAGCATGACCACAGAGGGATAATACATAAACTCTAGAATTGACAGAGACATCTCACTACCTGGATAGTCACCCAAAGTTCCTCTGCAACGTTGGAGCATCCACCTTCAGCCTATAGGCCTAGAGTGTTTGGCAGACTTCTCATCAAAGCAGGAAATTTGAAACTGTCCTGCCTGCATTCACAGTTTGTCAGTTATTTTTCTCTGTGTCCTGCAGAATGTTGGGCAGACAACTCCATGATGCAGGAACCCTAAAGGACTGTCCCATCTTGTTGAAAGTGACTGTTGAACTTGCCAAAGCAAGATCAGACAGTCCTTTAGGGTTCCTGCTTCAGCTGACCCCTGTTCCTATTTGCTTTTTTGTTTTCTGTTGCTATTTCTTGTTTTCCCTTGGTGGTGGGAGTTGAACCCATGGCTTCATGCATGCTGAGTGTTCAGATTGTTACTGAGCTACATACTTGGTCTGTAATGTTATCTATTCTCTCTCTGTCTCTCTCTCTGTCTCTCTGTCTCTCTGTCTCTCTCTCTCTCTCTCTCTCTCTCTCTCTCTCTCTCTCTCTGTGTGTGTGTGTGTGTGTGTGTATGTATGTGTGTGTGAGAGAGATCTTCCTGGCTCCACCTTCCCTGACTAGGAGTACAAGCCACTGCATCTAGTTTTCTGTTCAGGTGCTGGGGACTCAGCTCAGCTCCTCATACTTACAGGGCCAGCACTTAGAACAGAGACCCCTTCCCAGCCCCTGTTGCTATTTCTTGAGGGTCCTGGATGCTTTGTTTAGCATTGTCCAACCTAATGAGTCCTTCAAAGACACTTTTCACTTCTGTGTTGATTTCTTCTGAGTCTTTCCTTTAGAATTTTCTTTAGTTTCCATCTCTGTGTTTATATTACCCATCTGCTCCTACATGCCCATGTGTTCCCATAGAGCCCTTGGTGTATTTATGGAAGCTGTTTTAAATTCCTGGTCTGATTATTTACACACACCTGCCTCATATGAGTCTGTTTTTGATAGCTGCTATGATCCTCTAGAATCTACCCTTTGGCTTTTACTAATTGCAGGTCTTGAAATAGTTTAATGAAAGGCAGAAGTGATGTATCAGGTGAAGGGACTGAGGAAAACAGGCTTTTAGTGCCAGACTTTCTGCTTAGTTGGCCAGGGGTAGGCTGTGTGTGTTATTTCCTACTCTGTGGGTTTCCCTAGTTACTCCTTCACAGACAGAACCTGAGGGTTGCAGTCTTTCAGCTGCCATCTCTGTGACTCTGTGTGTGTGTGTGTGTGTGTGTGTGTGTGTGTGTGTGTGTGTGTGTGTGTGTGTGTGATCTTGGGAGGCCCTGTGATGAGGCCTCAGTGTTTACTAAGCCTGTTCCCCAGGCTGTGGCCTTCCCAAGGGCTTCTTGGCTCCTCCCGTTGACATTAGTCTAAAGACTGGAAGTCTAGAGGGGTGTGTGTGTGGAGTTGGACATTGCTTTTCTTTTCAGATGGCTTGGTTCTAGAGAGACATCGCCATGAAGGCAGGCTTCTGTGAAGGAGAAGACAATGCTCTGGGCCTAACAATGTCAACCTCTTACTCTCTTGGATGGATAAGAAAATTTGGCTTTGTTCTTCATGGGGAAGACCTGGCTGGGGACAGTGCAGATGGAAACCTTCACATCTCTAATGTTTTTTATGGTGGGGCCCTATTAGGAGATTTCCTGCCCAGTACTGCAGCCGCCTTGTCCTAAATGAACATACAGACGCTATATTAATTGTAGTACTGTTGGCTGGTGGCTTGGACTTCTTATTGGCTAGCTCTGTCTTAATTATTAACCCGTAACTACTGATCTATATATTTCAACATGGTCTTATTTTACCAGAGAACGCCTGACTTGCGTCCTCTCTTCCTGGGCTCACATTGCAACTCCTCTCTGCCTACACTTCCCAGAATTCTCCTTGTCTCTTAGATGCCCTGCCCATCTTCCTGCCTTGGCAATCAGTGTTTTATTCATCAACCAATAGGAGAAACATATACAGAATAACATTTCCCACCTAGGGCTCCTTGGACTCTCTGCAGTCAGCCTCTTTCCCACTCAGCTTCTAGACAGTTGTCTGTCACAGGTGAAGTTTTCCTGCTTCAGCTCTGGTTCAAAGAGGCTCTGGTCTCTGTATTCAAGTCCATCCCTTCAACCATCAAGATAGTGGTGAATCTCAAGAAGAGTTCTTTCTTTCTTTCTTTCTTTCTTTCTTTCTTTCTTTCTTTCTTTCTTTCTTTCTGTTTCTTTTCCTTTTCCCCTTCCTCCTCTTCCCCCTGCTCCTCTTCCTCCTCCTCTTTTAATTTTTTACTCTTAAAACAAGGTCTCATGTAGCCCAGCCTTGCCTCATCCTTGCTATGAGGCTGAGAAAGACCTTGATCTCCTGATCCTTGGACCTATACCTCCAAGTGCTAGGATTACAGTACAGGCCTGTACCACTGAGCCCAGTTGTTGACTTTTAGTTCATTTGCAAGACCAAAGAGCTTAAGCTCTTTGGATAAAGCCATTGTGGTGACAGGAAGTGTTAGAACTCAGCACCACCTTTTCAGTTACTGTAAGTGGGCCTGCAAAGCACCTGACTTGATGGAGTCTTCATTTTGACAGGTGTCTTAGTCAATGTTCTATTGCTGTGAAAAGACACCATGACCATAGCAACTCTTATAAGGGAAAACATTTAATTGGGGCTGGCTTACAGTTTCAGAGGTTTAGTCCATTATCAGCATAGCAGGAAG